TCTCTCTCTCTCTCTCTCTCTCTCTCTCTCTCTCTCTCTCTCTCTCTCTCTCTCCCTCCCTCCCTCTCTCTCTCTCTCTCTCTCTCTCTCTCTCTCTCTCTCTCTCTCTCTCTCTCTCTCTCTCTCTCTCTCTCTCTCTCTCTCTCTCTCTCTCTCTCTCTCTCTCTCTCTCTCTCTCTCTCTCTTCTCTCTCTCTCTCTCTCTCTCTTCTCTCTCTCTCGTCTCTCTCTCTCTTCTCTCTCTCTCTCTCTCTCTCTCTCTCTCCCTCTCTCCTCTCCTCTCTCTCTCTCCTCTCTCTCTCTCTCTCTCCCTCTCTCCTCTCTTCCTCTCTCCCCCTCTCCCTCCTCTCCACTCTCTCTCTTTGCGATTCCCTTCTTGTTTTTTTCCGTTTTTTCCTCTTCTCATCATTCGCTTGCAAGTAGTCCCCTTTCTGCGGTATTTTCTTCGTCTACTAATTATGCTGGCTTCTTTTTTTGTTTTCTTGTGATTTTTAACACAATTCCTCCCAATTCGCTCCTATTGTTACTACCTGGTGCCACTGCCTCTTTTCTATTGTGTTCTCTTCTCCTCTTCCTCCTCTCTGCTTTTCCCTTCTCTATACTTCTGTATTCTCTGCACACCTCAGTGCTGTTCCCTCTCCACGTCTCACCTGCTTCCTTTTCTCTGTCTTCTCTCGTCTGTATCCACTCGTCTTTCCTCTTTCTTCCTTTATATCTCCTGTCTCCTCTTATCTCCGCTTTGCTCCCTCCCCCATTCGCTCTCCGCCCCAGCAACGTTCACCAGGCGCCCCCGCACCGCCTCTGCCGTTCGCCCGCCGCCCAAACCGCACGGCGATGACCCGCTCCTCGTGAAGGGAGGAGGGAGGACATCTCGATTCATGTCCGCGTCACCTCCACCGCCCGTCAAGTTTGGTTTCACAGAGGAGTTATTATTGGAGGAATTATTACTGCCTTCCGTGGAATGCGATGACTAACTCGCTGCCGTCGAGGCGGTGACAGGTGAGCGATGACGGATGACGGAGACGGGCGCAGGACGACATAAAATGCGACGCGTAAATTGGTGTTTTGGGTGTTGTTAACAGGGCGTTCAGGTGCGCGCTCGTCCGGATGATGAAGTGAACGTGAAGTGACGCGGCGGAGGCATGCCGAGGCGGGATGATAGTGAGTGGACAAGCGGAAGTCAGAAGAAGAAAAATGACATAATGAGAGAGAAGGAGAAAATTAACAAATTAATGCTTGGAAATATATATATGTGTGTGTTGTATATATATATGTATATATGTATATATATATATAGATAGAGATAGAGTAGAGATAGAGTAGAGATAGAGATAGAGATAGAGATAGAGATAGGATAGAGATAGAGATAGAGGAGAGAGAGAGAGAGAGAGAGAGAGAGAGAGAGAGAGAGAGAGAGAGAGAGAGAGAGAGAGAGAGAGAGAGAGAGAGACGAGAGAGAGAAGAGAGAGAGAGAGAGAGGACAGGAATTTCGCATGCATTGAAACTCTTGGATGTGATCAAATCCGACCTTGTTATGTAGCATTAATTGGAAGAGAACAGTAGCTAAAACGTGATAAAGGCAGCATTAAAAGAAACGAATTCCTTTCCCAGCGACTGAGCCCCGCGTCCATAACTATAATAACTGGCTTCGATGCGCAACTGTTTCCTTGGGCTTGGAGCACCCGACGCCGAGAGAGACGAGGAAGACCGCTCCGCGCGCCGGCGATTCCCCTCGGAGATCAAGACTCCCCGTGGCCTAGGCAGCCTCTCCCTCAGGTAGCCTCGCCCTCATCGACCTCAGCGACAGGGACGTTCGCCCTGCTCCATTACTCCGCAAAGCGCCGGGAAGCACCCAAACGTTCTGTGTCAAGGCTATAAAGTCCTTCTCCCTCCCCCTTTCCTCCCTCTCCCGTCTCACGCCCTCCACGTCTTCCATGGGCCCCACCCCCTCTCTCTCTCCCCCCCCCCCCAGTGCGTACCACCGAGAGGGCAATGGAAGTGTATTGGAATCCCGTCTCCAGGTGAGGAAGTTCCCCGGGCTTGGATGGCGGGCGGAGGCGCGGGCTGAGGGCGTTCGCGCGCCCGCGTGCAACAGATCTGGCGCCTATCTAGACGTCGACATTAGCCCGCTCTCTCCTCGTCATCTTCTTCCTTATTTCCATCTAGTTCCTTTGCCGTGTTCATCGTCTTACTGCCGTGTATATACGGACACACACAGACAGACACGCACACGTACGCACAGACATTTTTATGCAATATATATAACCATAATTGGATTAAGTAGCTGTTACTTTTTTGTTGTTGATTTCGTAGCAGTTACTCTGCTGGATTACCTGCAGCGGCCTAAGTAGATGACGCTTCCAAATAGCATTTGAAACACACACGAGACCTCGCCGGACGCGCATGCCGCCGGCTGCCTTGGGTCAGGCGCTAAATACGCGTTTCGCGCCTTTTGAAGCAGCCAAAAATAGCCCCGCGCGATGCGTGTCCGAAGCCGAGCGCTAAGCACCGGCTGCGCGGGATCGACGGCCTCGGTCAACAGTAATGATGAGTTCGCAATCAGTGCTTGCGCGCGGGACTGCCGCCGCAATGCGCAGGTTGTGCTGGGCGTTCTCTTAAACAGCATTTGAAGAAAGGTAAAGCTAGGTAATGATTTATGCATCTAATTCTCTTGAACATTATAAAAAAAGTGAAATCTATCTAATTATTTTTCCATGTAATTGTGGAACTTTCTTGCGTTTTTATTAATTTATTTTTTGTTTTATTTATTATTTTATTATTATTATTATTATTATTATTATTATTATTATTATTATGTATATATATATATATATTTTTTTTTTTTTTGGGGGGGGCATGAGTATCCCTTTTAAATGGCCGGGTGACGGTGCAAGAAAAACGTGTACCCTCCAAAAAGGTAAATGAGGGTATAACTTCTCTGTGTCCTTTCAAAAGATGGATCTGTGACTTCGTGTGACCTCCCTCTTCATTCCCCGTATAGCCCTCTTGTGACCCGCCAGGAGCCCGACGTAGCCCCAGCGCATTCGAATGCCCCCCACCCCTCCTCCTCCCCCTTTCCCGACTAGGACCCGACACGTAACGATCGGGCGACGTCGGTCGGAGGGCCAAGGAAAGGGCACGTGGGGAGGGAGACTCGAGTGGCTCTTGTGCTTGAAGGGGGAAGGGAACGGGGTAGGGGTAGGAGGGTAGGGTGGGGCGTGGTGATCGGAGGAGGGGGTAGGGGGTGGAGGGGGTGGGTGTGGCGTGGTGATCGGAGGAGGGGGTAGGAGGTAGGGGAAGGGGGTTAACAAGTGTGAGTGCGAGGGTGCGACCACTTCATGAGGGAGAAAGGGCAGGGTGAGAAGGAGAGGGGCGCTTCGAGGGCTACTAAGGCGGGGAGCGACGAAGGGGTCCAATAGGAAGGCGGGGCCGGTAAGGGGCAATAGAAAGAGGAGGAGGAGTGGGGGAGAAAGGAGGAGGAGAAGAAGAAGGAGAAGAAAAAGGAGGAGCAGGAGAAGGAGAAAAAGAAGAGGGGGATGAAAAAGAAAAAGGAGAAATAGAGGAAGAGGAGTAGAAGTAGAAGTAGGAGACAGAGGAATGAAAGGAGAAGGGGAAGGAGGAGGAGCAGAAAGAATAGGGAAAGGAGGAGGTAAAGAAGAAAGAAAGAAACGGAAAGGAAAGAAAAGGTGAAGAACAGGAAGTTAACGAAAGGAGGAGAAGGAACGGAAAGGAAAGGAGGAAGAGGAGGGGAGGAAAAGAGAAGGAAAGGAGGAAGAGGAAAAGGGGAGGAAGAGGAAGAGGGGAGAAGGAGGGGTGAGGGAGGTAGAAGGGTTGGACGAGGAGGAAGAGTGTGAGGGATGTGAAGAGGGTGCAAAGATGCAGCCAGGAGGGGAAGGGAAGAAAAGAAAGGAGCGTATAATGGACGGATGCGAAACAATGATAATAAGGGAGGACAAATAAAGCAAAGCCATTTTTTCTACTTCCTTGATGCAAACGTTCGGCGTCATTCTAAGGCTACTTCCTGTTCTGCATTTGGAAACCTTACTTTTTATTCCTTTTATGGACGGTTCACCATAGAGGTATCGGGTTTCGTGTTTTTACTTTCTCTCGAAACCAAAGACGCGGACGCTGATGTCTCCCTTCTTACCTCCCTCTTATCCCTCCCCTTCCCCCTTCCCCTTTCCCTTCCCTCTTCACGCTCCCTCCCTCCCTCTTCCTTACGTCCCCCTTCCCCCTACCCTCACCTCCCTCCCCTCTTCGATCTAACAGCTGCTAGACCCGTAAACCTTTTAATGACTCTCTAGTGTTTAATTGGGACTATTTGACAGCAACAAGGGAATGGCGAACAGCTATTTTCAGCCTTTTTTGGGCCGCGCAACAATGGCCAGATTACCATTTCAGCAAACAGCCTCTTCTGGGATCAAGTGGCGCGCGGCATTGCACTTCGGCCGCGCTTTCGACGTGCAGGGACGGGCGAGCTGTCGACGGCGTGCATGTGGAAATCGTGTGCAAAACTTGCAAATCCGATGACGTATTATAAAACAAGGGAGATTTTGTGTGATTCATCGATTAAAAAAGGAAATTAAAATCAAGGTGTTTGTGATGACGATCATGGTAACAGGAAATGAGGATTGCGATGAATTGTGATGAGGTGAAGGTCGATTAGAATGGAGAGAAAAGACTAGGTTCAGCGATGGCAATTATAGATTAGAGCAATGCATTCAGTTTAATGACGCCGATGGCCAATAAATATGTAAAACATCATTTTTATTTTGTGCGCGTAAGGCATGGAATATTGTTGCGTTGATTTTACGTTGCAGACGAACAATATTTCGTTGTATAACGAGGTAGCAAGGTTCAAAGGGCGATGGAGTGGCGCTGCCTCGCGTGTCCGCGGCGGCGAGGCGCCCGAGCGCCGTCTGTGAAGCCCTTCAGATGCCTTGTTTTGCTCACACGCTTTCACAAGCTTCATATTTTTGAAATGACGTTCTTCCCTTGCAGGTGTGATGAGGTTGAGGAGCAGGCGCGGGCGGGGAGCAGCGCGGGGGCCGTGTAGGTGCTGAGGCTCGCACCGTCAGGATGGACCACAGCGTGAAGGCCATGACGCCGCACCGGAAGGTGGCCTTCTCCCGGCTCTGCCACCGCCACCGCTTCGAGAATGACGAGCTCGAGAACCTCTACCGCCGCTACACTCTCAAGCTGCAGCAGGCGAGCGTGGCTGCAGCCGCCGCCCTCCTGCTGACGCTGTCGCTCCTGCTGGCGGCTCTGCACGTGACCTACGCCCAGGTCGCGGCGCCCGCGCCCATCACCCTGCTGGCCCTGGCGGTGGTGCTGGCCGCGCTGCTGGTCGTGCTGCACTCGCGCGTCATGAGGCACTCGTACCTGCTGCCCTCCTGCTACCTGCTGCTGGCCCTCGGCGCCATCCTGGTCGCCCTGGCCCTCCCCCTGCCCTCGGGCTGGGGCTGGGTGGGTTGGCAGACCAGCCCGACGGCCGGGCAGGGCGTCTGGCACGCGACCTTCGTGGCGTTCCTCGTCTACGCCCTCACGCCCATCTCCACGCCGCTGGCCCTCACCTACGGCGTCGTGCTGCCGGCCGGCCAGACCGCCCTGGCGGCCACGCTCGCCAACCCCTTCCCGCACATCCACTGGCAACAGGTAGGTCCTTCGGCGGCGGAACAGCTGCGTGGGCAGCTGCTCGCCTGCTCAGACGAGCGTCCCCTTGAACACACACACACACACACACACACACACACACACACACACACACACACACACACACACACACACACGCACACACACACACACACACACACACACACACACACACACACACACACACACACACACACACACACACACACGCACACACGCACACACGCACACGCACACACACTCGCACTCGCACACACACACACACACACTCGCACTCGCACTCGCACTCGCACGCACGGATGCACGCACATATTCACACATATTCTTTCTCCTCCACTCCCGTCCTCCCCTCGCCCCCTTTCCCTCCTTTCTCTTTTTGTACAACCCCGAGACCTGAATTAACAGTCGCACCTGTTTTTCCCATTTGTTATATAAAGAGAGCGTGGAAAGGGAAGCAGGAAATGTAATTTTAAGAGGGCGTAAACCAACAAGGGAACGCCAAGAAAGTCATGTTTCCCGCAAGAAGTCGGCAGGAGCCTAAAGGAATGCTGCGAGGCATGGCAGGCGCCGACAAGCACGCCAGGTGTTGATTGATCGCCAAGTCACGCTTTCTTTTCCATTTCTCATATTTTATTTCCGGCGGGGAGGGCTGGAAGCCTTACAAGACAAGCAAGCTAAACTGTGAAGCAAAAGGGGTTGAAAGTGAAGCAGAGGGAGGTGTGGGAAGTAAGAGGGGAAACCTTTTTGCTGCTGTATTTGCTTTGCTTACATGAAAAACCGCCACAATAAGCGCGGAAGGATAGATTGAAGCGTTTCGAATTCGCCGAGACTCCTTTTCGGACGAAGAAAAATAAATGAATGAAACAGCCTCGTCTGAAATGAAACCTTTGCTGGATTCGAAACGTCCTGATTTGTTATTCCGTTTCTGTGGCACAGTTTCTTTTAAATTGTGTAGGCACGTTACTTTTTTATTACATTAATCTATTATAGAAATTATTACCAATAGTTTAGGCAGGGGGATAGGTTTTGTTGTGATCAAGGTTTCGCAAATTCCTTGGAGATGGCTGCGAGTCTGGCATCAGGACGTGCTCTCGATTCGCCTTCGCCTCCACCAATGCCGCCGGGGGTCGGCGCCCATGGTCAGTTTAGTTAATTGTCTTTATACATACAAATGAGGTGGCTTAGCTCGGTGGAAGAGCGCTGGCCTTGCAACCTCCTGGGTTCTCCTGGCCGCTCCTCTCGGGCTGAGTGAGTACTAACGGACGGCTGTCAGCATGTTGAGGTCAAAGTCCAGCCGGGAAAGAACTGGCCGCCCTACCGCATCATCCCGCGGTTCAGTCAGCAAGTTTCTCTTCTGACGTGTCCCAACATCCACTCGGATAGGGCACCAACTTTGACTTTGATACATATTTGCCACAAGTGCTTAATTACCAGAGTCAAATACTCGTACTACCTATCTCACCTGTTTACACTGTTCATTATTTTCGGAAATATTATCTTTTATTTGATATTGCTATTAGTGATGTTAACACCATGATAATTACAATATCTATAACAAATTTAATAACATCGGAATTGATAGCATTAGTGAAAATACTATTTTCCCGACAAAACACCACTGCGGGAACATTGCGTTTTCTGGGCGGCAGTGGGTTAATGCCGAAGAAATGGAAGTGTGGGAAGAGAACGTGAGTTTAAGGAAGTTGTCGACTTCCGATTGGACAAAATGGGGGCTTTGTTTCCATTTTAAGCAGAGTGGGGAAGTTGCTTGTTTATGTATTTTTTTGAGGGACTTGAGTTCTCTTTAGGAGGGGGTGGGTTGGCGTCCTCAAGTTCCATCGCAGACGAATGCTATTTCTCAGACATTGTGCCGTGAAGGAAATGCAGAAAAGGGTAACGTTGTTTCTGTTCGTTGCAGGAAGTTGCGATCGAAGCATGATAGCAAATGGATAGGGCTATCGTGAGGAAATTGGTTAGGGGGATCACGAAATATCGTAAAGGAAAATATGGGTGTTTTTTGGTCTTAAGGAATAAACAGTGTGAGGGTTTGAGGAGAGTGATTCTTTTTGTTTGTAATAAGACTTTCCCCGAATGAAGACGCTAAGCACCATAGTTTGCGTTTTACTATAAGCTTGTGATCGCTATTTAATGGAAAAATAACTGATAAAACAGAAGGAAGCTCTATCCGTCTGTTCTTGATCGAAAGCCAATATTTATCTTGGGACAAACAGCCCGAGAAAGAATGTCGATGAACCGTGTTTCTTATCTGATCGAGGTCGCGGTGAAATGCCGCCTCGTAATATGGGAAAGGGTTGTGTGAAACCTGAGTTGTGATGTAAAAATAGCTCATGATTGTTTTCCCTCGATGTTCCCCCGCCGACGCCCTTTGCGGTGGGACAGGATCGCCCGGAGGAGAGAGGAGCCCTTCCGTCTGTGAGCATCTCCGAATTCTCTTTCGAAATCGGAGGTTCTGTCTCTGCCAACTTTTGCTCATTGGTTTCTCTGCCTGCTGGATTGCGCGAAAAAATACTTGTGGATTGCGATGGCATTGCAAGGGAGGGTTGAATGGTTCAGTGACAGATTAGACTCTTAAGATATGCCACCAGTGCAGAATGGTTCCGTCAGCATAGGGTGGCATTGTCTTGGAAAAGGGTGATGAACTTACTCGTATGCATTTCGAGGTTTGTCCTTTTCGAATACTTTCTAGTCTGTAGTAATGGCGGCCTTCTCAGCACGTGAACGTCCTTTTGACAGTCGCGGCTCCGTTCAGCAGCGGCACAGGTGAGCTGCTCGGTTGCTGTTCCACTGAGCTTTCGCCCCATCTCCGCATCCGGAGAACCGCTCAAAGGAATCCCTTAACCCCGACAAAATGGACGTTCATTCCCCTCCTCTCTCTTGCCTCATTTTTCCCCATTTGGCGACCGTCCATGGTGTTCATCCGACGTTCACTGCGGTGGAAAAGCGGGCCGTAGGCCTGGCAAGAGCGGGATTTGTTCGTCGCGAGCTGAAATGCCGGAAGAATGTCTTGATTGGGTTGTAGGCCTACCCTGGCGTGGCGCCGTTGCTCCCGTTGCAGTCATCGTCCTGGTTTGATCTTAGTGCACAAATATACCTACACATGCACACATACACGCACAACTACACACACAAATACATACACGCATACTTACACACAAATACACACGCACACGCACGGCATGTTTGTATGTAAATAGTCTGTTCGCACAAAGAGCCTTCACTATCCCACGGATAACGAGGCTTCAGATAATGAGCGACGTCTTTACAAAATGCGGGAAAAAGGGAAAAATGTCTAGTTTCTGTTACCCTTTTGGTGATGCAAAAAAAAAAAAAAAAAAAACGTAATGGAGGAGAATAGAACCCCTTTTCTTGCTTCTCCTTCTGCCATTCGACCCAACATTTTAGGTTGCTTCTTCGAATACAAAAACTCCTTCATTTTGCTTGCCAACAAAACGTAAGCTTTGAAGCGGGATCTTCCTCCTTGTCAGGTCTCTCCCCCTCCCTCCCTCCCCCCTTTGTCTCCTTCCTCCTCCCTCTCCCTTGCTGCACCCTTTTCTGTTTCTCCTTCCTCTCTTTGCCTTTACTTCCTTCCTCCTTTCCTTTCTGCCAATCCCTTTTCTCCATTCTCCTTACTCCCCTTCCCTACTCTCTCTCCTTGTTTCATCCCTACATTCTCTTTCCTTTTCATCTCAACCTTCTCTCCTTATCTCTCCCTCCCATTCTTCTCCCCTCCCTACCGGTCATTTCTCCTGCCTACCTCCTCCCCTTCCTTCAATGCTCTTCTCTCCCTCCCTGCTCTTCTATCTTTCTCTTCTCTCCACTTTATCCCTCCCCCCTATCTATTTTCTTTCCCCTCTCTCATCCCCATTCGTTTCTTTCCTTTCGCATTTCCATATCTCCTTCACCTCATTTCTTATTTTATTCAGCTCCTTTTCCTCGTCATTTCACCCCACTTTAAGCTTTCTCTCATCCTCTCGTCACATTTCCCCCAATCTAAACCTCACTTCCCCCTTACTTTCACATTTCCCTTCAGTCATTCCTTCCCTCATTTCCCCTCAGTTTCTCCTCACCTTGACCTGGCTTGAACATTTCCCCTCGGCTAAGACCCGCTTTATTTATCCTCCCAATTTTGCCTCGCTTCCCCCTCACCTCCACCGCATCTTCGATATACACTGGGATGGTTTTGCGTCGCACCGTCGAGCCCGGAATGCAGTGCTTCATGTAGATTCATGCATCATGCATTGCACATATACTTATTGCACGCGATTTTTTTTTCTCTCCCGATATCGCTCGGGCGATTGCACGCGAGGAGCAGGTTTGGCGCAGAATAGGATTCGGTTCAGGCATGAGCGAGCGCGCGGCCTGCTGTAACATTTTCTCGGAAATGTCCAGATGGCCGGGATACTATTTTTTATGGCACCGCTCCTCCCCGCTGTGGCGCTGAACTTCCGTGGATTTAGAGAGGGATATTTGGGCGATGGGAATTATGGCTGGGTAATGTTCGTGTGTGTGTCTGTGTGCGCGTCTTTCCGTGAGTGTCTGCGGAAAAGACGTCGACTTATGCGTGAAAGATTTAGGGCCAGATCATTCCGTTGTCTAAATGCGTCAACATTACCGACATGCGCATAGCGATGACTTTAATTTGAGAAGGAGAGAGAGAGCTCCCACGATCCTGTGTGTGTGTGTGTGTGTGTGTGTGTGTGTGTGTGTGTGTGTGTGTGTGTGTGTTGTGTTGTTTGCAAAATTTAAAATAAACACAACATTTGCAACGTGCCCCAGTGTTAAAATACCACGATTAAATTACGTTAAATTCTCGCTTGCTCTATGACAGTCTCTCCTCATCTGTCTCACTATCCCCTCCCTTTCTCTTCCTTCTCTCTCTCTCTCTCTCTCTCTCTCTCTCTCTCTCTCTCTCTCTCTCTCTCTCTCTCTCTCTCTCTCTCTCTCTTCTCTCTCTCTCTCTCTCTCTCTCTCTCCCATCGCTT